TGAACGCGACATACAGCTTGTACATTCCCCATACTTTTTTCATTGACATATATATTTAGGTGCTTTGTGTTTTAAAACCCTAACGGCATGTAACAGTACTTGCTTTGCATGTATTATAGTGTAATATAGCAACTAGGAGCCATGTCTCACAGTCACAAATATGTATTTTTAAACAAACGCTCATTATATTTTACCGTATTACTTACAGTTTGATAAAAGAACAGGCAGACGTATGTAAATAAACCAGCTTTCACCTAGCCTATATATCCGCGTGTGCTGGAATATCCAATTACCACACGTCTAACTTCAAAACAAAGCCACAAAAGTTACAATCAATGGAAATTACCCAGATTCATGATTGATTTCAAATTTATCCGGGTAGCTTGTTAATTCTCTTTCCAGCAGGGTTTATCTGAAAAGATCTGGGTTACAGTACAATCCCCTAAAAAAGAAGGCCGAAATATCCGATTACAGCCTCACCGATTTCAATGGCACACAAATGTGCTCTTTCAGAAAGGGACACGATCTCTGGATCGGCACAGGGGGTGCGGATCCTTCAAAGGGGGTGAAGCACCTGTGACGCCGGGCACCCACCGTACCTGCAGTGCTTCCGGTCAGCACGTTCGCCAGACGGCTAACCCTTACAAATGAGGGGAAGTGGGAGCCGGGCGCCTCTGGAACGACCTCCTATCTCTTCCACAGCCCATTACGTCCATCTCCTGGGAGCGAGGACGCGCGGCACCAGCGGAGGACGCGGCTAGCGCGCGCCTCCGTGTCACGCCAGGGCCGCTGCCGCAGGTTAACCGCGCGTGCCGTTGTCACGCCACCTTGTGCCACCGGGAGCCGTTCTTACTATGTGGGCAACGTGAAGTGTGTAACGAGCGCCATGATGATTCAGCTTCCTTCAAGACGAGGACAAGGCGATCGGAGATATCCCACATTACCCCATCCTGACATTAACTGGGGTTTCTATTACAGCTGATGGAAGTACTCTAAATAGCTAGCTATAAATATTTGGAAAGTACTATGTCTCGCTGCCTGGAAATAAACCAACTATGCCTACGCTTTAATATTAAAATGAGTATATATTGCTCTGCATGTCCTAACCCTAAATCTTAGGTTGAATTACTTGCCTAATATAATGTTGTTCAGTCAGGAATTGTGTGTATGTGTTTTTAATTACTTTTTACAGGTAACGATTGTCCAGAGAAACATCTCTACTCCTCCTGTGGAATACACAACTGCTGCCCCCAGGATCTGCCATTGCCACCTAATCGGAACACTTCAATTAAGAACGCTATTGGCTGTGAACGTTTCCCTCCTGAGGGATGCTTCCTAAAAATGGTTGCAATTGTTAAGGCAGGTTAAGCTGATGCATAAGTCATTAACTACAGTTATGTCATACAGACAAACCATATACGTATTAAGTATTGCTGAGTTATGCTAGTATAATTATTATTACATATTCGATTTAATGGCCTAAATCCTACAGAATCACTATTTATTCACTGTTCATTATAACATGTTGTAGCCGATACCTGCATCTTAGGAAAACTGAGCTAATCTTTAATGGAGTCATTGGTACTCTGGATGCTGTCCTGTCCTTAAAAGTTTCTGTCATCGTTTTGATCCCTGCTCACAAATAGTGACTGTTTAACAGCATTTTTCTAAAATTCAGGCTGTTTGCTTTTACGGGAAATCATGTGTGTATGCATCTATATTGATTTTTAATAAATTAAACTGCCCTTGAAATAAAACAAGATTGAAAATTGTGAATCAGTGCCCTGTGCAGATATCGGAGAAAGCCTTATTGATGTTTGGCTGAGGCCCGTAATAATCCGCTGAATTTAGCATTCATGGGCAAGGTACCAAGATCAGATGGCTCGAATCAAACGTCTGTCAGTTCTAGGATGGAAAATGCTGTCCTTCCATTGCTTTAGATACAGCCTGATTACAACCAGACATGCAAAAACGGAGCGACCGCTTCACGTCGTCCTCTGGATAGATCAGCTAGCAAATCCGGCATTAACACAATCAAGGGAGTAAACACGTCTGTACTGTTGCAATCGCTGCCGTTCATCTGGCTGAAGGTGGCTGTCAGAAGTTCAGGCTGGCACGAGGCGGCCTCGTGATGTAACGGGCACGTTAATGTTTAGTACACGAAAATAACGAATGCCGACAGCTATATTTTGCACGAGTGGCCTATTACACTAATAATTGCAGATAAGCTGCGTGTTTTCCGTCTTTTATTGGTTCCCATGATAAATACCTCCAAGTACGAATACAGCAAAATTTATTAATGGAACATACATAGAAAAAAGTTCTCTGTTGCGCATTTTAATAATGTCTCTAAATGTATACAGTTAAAGTTGATATAGCAACTGCAGTCAGAAGGTAAAACATGAAGCATCATCAAAAAAAAAAATTTAAAATCCCAATCACCGAAAGCACTGATAAACATTAATACTGCCGAGTTGATAGTCAGAAGAGACTGGAAATTGCCTGCGATGTCATAAAGCCGCCGCTGACGTAGTTAACACCTTTCCACGTTTTACTCTGAAGAATCGTATCAGCGCAAAGCATTGTTCGTACCACTGATGTGTGTAAGCAGTGTGTCCCACACGAAGTTGGTATAGGGGGACCACGCTATAAGTGTAAATCTTTCTAGGGCAATATCATGGATACTTTTTTTCTGTTACAAAAATTATTTGTTCTTCTATTAGGCCTACTTTGTGTTTGGTTTGAAAGTAAAGTATAAAATTCGATACACTTTTAATGAAATGCAAATAACACGGCTTACTACATAATTAAATCGTCAGGAACGCAGTTTTGACACCCTGATCGTATTTTTGTCACGACTGAATCCTCGTTGCTAAACACGTTTTAATAAATCACTACCTGAAGACAGTACGTAGCCTATTTCCATTAGCTATATTTTTGTGACAATTTCTGCATGTAAAAGTGCTTATGGAACGTCTGCTGACATTAATTAATTTGACATAATAGATTCTTGGCAGTAAACTACAGAAATGCGGAATAACATATCGATAATCTCAGAATAGTTTTGTGTTTCACGTTTTTCACGTATTATTTCTCGTCAGGATATAGCAGAGGAATTATTTAATTGGTCGATTATAACATATTTCTTATCTGAACGGTCACATTTTGTAATTTCAATGAATAATTCAGTTGTAGTTGAAGAATCTTACTACTTTGGTCTAAAATGTCTAATTTTTGGTAGCTTTTAAAGTAACTCATCCCATTATGTTCGGTACCATCTTCTTGAAGTAAATATTCGTCACATTATAAAAATACCACAAGAGCTATCGCCAAACAAAGGAAAGAAGTGCATGCTGGCTTGATGCATTTAAATTAAGTTAAATTAATGAATAAATTCAAATTGTTTACATGACTGAACATTAAACTATACATACTTGAATTATATGTATTCATTAGGCTAATAGCCTATGGCTGATAAATTAAAACGGAGGTAATAGACATGAATAGGACCGGGGTTGCGAAAGCCCAGAATTAGCATTCTTTGTTGTGAAAATGCAAGATGACTTTTCCTTGTTTGAACGCAGTTTACCAAATCCTGGCGTGTTTGTTGAAGGACTAGCGGCGGCCGTCGCCTACTGTCAGTGCGCGGTGGGTCTTTGCGGGAGCGGAGCAGCACAAACACATTTCATGTTGTCGCGGATGATTTGTTTAGCGTCCTTTGTTTGCTCAGCTGGCACTTATTAATTCGCAACTTATGAAGAACACGTTTCGGTGTTAATTGAAATCGTGATTCGCCCTGTTATCTTGTTTTTCGTATACTAAATCCCACATCAACCACGGGCGCCTAAAAAGGCAATGAGCAATGCGTATGTTTGGAACATTTATTGAATTAAAACATTTATTAGATGGATCTATAGAATTGTTTTCGTTGCCATATCTTACCAGAAGTGTGGTTTTAAAAATTCAAATAACATGAGCAAAAATACTGCGATGTGTGAGATATGTTTGCTATTTTAAATATTTTAATGTCACCTTTAGGCTAACGACTTGGGCTGCATGCGGACTGCCCAAAAGTATTAACACAATGTAATTTTAGCGGGGTCATTGCTTCGAGCGCCTGTGATTTGAAAGAGCCTGATATGATCATTTAATAGAAACTATTGTGTTATTTAGACACCGTAATGCAAGACTTTTTTTTTTTTTACACTTTCGGGGCCGGACAGTAAAATCTCATATTTATAGTATATATAGGCCTATTTTACTCGCAACCAGGGAGGTCGCCCTGCCCAAGTAATTAGCGAATCACGAGTAGCAATATCCCTCAAGGCTAATGGCGATAACACATCTTTTAACGAGATTCTGTGGGGAAATAGGCGGCGCACTAATTATTAGCCTATACTCTTTTATAATTTTCGGATTTTATTACTCACCCACTAGCAAAATGTAAACACCTTTAAAAGACATTTTTTTAAATGCGTCAAGTTAAATATAATTAACTGTCCCCCCCCAAAAAAGCAGCCCATGCTTCCGTGCCACACATTTCGTTTATTGAGAATTATCTAATTAATCTGAGGCGCGTGGCTGCGACTGGCGGGAAGAAACGGCACTATCATCAATTTGACATTTAAGATAGGAAGGGGTGGTGACCTTGATTATCCTTCAAAAGCTTTCACGAAGATAGGCGTATTTTAATTCCGCATTCCAAAGCAATCCTTATATAACTAAATCGGATAATACTACGTTATTTACAACCTTTTGACTTCGCTTTGAATTATGGAAACTGACCTTAGTTCTTAATGTGTATACACACACACCAGTTTGACTTTCATAATTTAATGTGGATAACAGCAGCAATGCCAAACAAAATATTGACGTGCAAACGCCAAGACATCCTATTCAGGAGGGGGGAAATTGACCGCTTACATACGTCTAAAGGGGTGGAGACACTGCGCGAGTCCTTTAAACATACGATTTTAATAACACTCCACTCACAAACCTGCTTGTTGTTAAACTGATCTTTATTATATGGACACGAATGTATAAGGGCGTTCGCTTTCCACATTTCACTGGAATATTGAAATTGAATGTCTAATTCACATTCTCGCTCTCTCTCGAAGGACGACTTCGGGAACAGGAAACCCAAGTGCTGCGACTGAAATGAACCCGAAATACAACACTAGAGACAATGTCTAACACGTACGGGAAGGAGTTTTAAATTTTCGCTTGAATTTAAAACACAGCAACTCGGGTGAAGATACAACATTCGTTTTTTTTATTTCGTTTGAATTGTCGATTGGTCAGACTAAATCTTGGACTACAAAATAAACATCCATAACGACCTTAAAATTACTAGAGTTGTCCATAGAAACGAATGTCGTGAATACCTTGAAGCGTTTCTCTTTTTTTTTTTACTGCCAATTTGTCTTTAGGGAAAACGCGCACACTTATGTTTAAAACAATTTCAAATCCAGGAAAACCAGCTAATTGCGGTCACTGAATTGACCCAAATACATATTTACAAACAGCTCCTTTCTGTAGCTGACTATTTCAATTCCACCCCTCCTGCTAGATAAACAAGTTTTAAGAAAAGCTATACAGAAGGTGGGATGGGGTCAAAGGGCCAGAGAGGTGGGAGTTCATTACAGGGGATACATCCATTTCATTAGAAGACATGGGTTATGGGGACCCGCCGCTCATCGTAGGGTCACAACAAACTGTCCAGCATTTTAAATCATCCCAGTTTAAAATTCTTCATTGATAAAAGTAAAAACAAAAACTGTGAATTTCACACAGGTTTTTGGTTACGTTTCCATTTCTTAAAAGGGATATAAAAAGTAATCTGGACGAATGTTCTTTAACTTTTAGAGTTTTTTTTTTTTAAGTCCCGTTTAAAAACAAAAGGGGGGGGTGGGGGTAGGGAGGGGGAAAAAATGAATCACAAGACTTGGAACCTCCAGGAGGCCTGGTCTTTGTAGTCCAAGCAGTCTGTCGCGTTGAAGTTGAGTTTCCAAGAGGAGGCCGTTTGATCTTTGTAATCCAGGCAGTCCGAGGAATTGAAGGCCAGACCAGCACCGCTGTAGGGCTGATGGTGGTGGTGGTGATGGTGGTGTCCAGAGGACTGGCTTATGTGGTGGTGCGGATGTCCCGACATGGAGGGTGTAGCCATGGGGCTCAGCTGGTGTGGGTGGTGGTGAGAGTGCATGGGGGTCAGGTAGGAGCTGCAGTCGACGCCGCTGAAGTAGGAGCCCGACGCCGTCGGGTAGCCCTGGCTGTAGCTGGTGGTCTGGTTGTAGGTCATGGGGTAGGAGGACGCCGTGGCCCCAGAAACAGAGCGCTGCATGCAGGAGGTGCTGGTGGGAGGCACGGAGTCGGGCACGGGGATGGACGGCGGGGCCGACCCGGGGGAGATGGATGCCGGGCTCCAGATGGAGGAGACTGGGGTGCTGATGGAGGTAGAGGTGCTGATGGCCGTGTTGTTGGAGGAGCTGGAGCTGTTAGACGAGGATGAGCTGCTGGCGCTGGACACCGCAGGGGGGGTGAACTGGCCGCTGCTCTCGGATCCAGTGCTCTCCCGCGCCGGGGACGACTTCTTCTTGGCCGGCCGGACCTTGGCGTTGTTGCCGTTCTGCTGCTGCTGACGACACTTTGCCCGTCGGTTCTTGAACCAAACCTGGACCCAGATGACGGCAAACACACACAACTTTTAGTCTAAAATCAATTATCTACTTCAGCTTGCTGGCTGCGGCTTTCACTTAAGTGTTGACTAAATGCTGATGTTTATTTTTTTCCAAGGAAAGGAACAACAACAAAAAAAGTTAGCAGGAAAAGCTGGACACGCCCTTCAGATACAACTGGCATTTTTGAAAAGTTACTCCAACTAGCCTGTGCTGCATGCGTTTATTGAAATTGACGACGCACACAAATATCCTCAATTAAAAATGTAATAAAACAAACGGATCTGCTTATGTAATGGGATCCATCTTCAGCGTTATTAAAGACACTCAGCAACACTTGGGAGGCCGCGTGCCACATTTACAGAAAGTCAGCACAAGGGGGGGCCAACGAACCCTCTCCGCTTTGCTATTTAAAGTGAAAAAGAATAAACCAACTGAAGAATAAGCCACGAAACTACCACAACACAATCTAATATCCGTAAGAAACAATATAAATCTTAGTCATGCAAGACGGAAAATATAAATAATGTCAGTAAAGAGTCCAACCTGTACTCTGGATTCAGGCAAGTTAATTTTCAGTGCCACCTCTTCCCTCATGAATATGTCTGGGTATCGAGTCTTAGCAAACAGAGACTCCAAAATGTCCAGTTGTGTACGCGTAAAAGTAGTCCTCTCCCTACGTTGTTTCCTTGGATTTGCTGTGAGGGAAAAAAAAAAAAAAAAAAACATAACCGGTTTACCAAAGAACTGTTTTCATCCTCTTCAACATCAAAAGATTAGGTTACTACACGAGTTACGGTACTGGACGAAAAAGCTTAAATCTCCCAAAAACGCTGCAAAGCTTCCACTTAAATGTTTCCATTGTTCTAAGCAAATATTTTTTTCTGTGCATAACGGTGACGAAAGTCATTCTTTTTAATGATTCACTGACTAAATGTAAACTCGTATCAGTTAGAAAAAAATTAACCTACAAGTATGCATAACATAGCACCGCCTCAAAACTAGACTATAAAACTAAATTAGGACCTAAAGCGGCACGTGAGACTAGATTTAAAACTTAAGACTTATTCTTTTAAATTGTCGATTTGACAAAAAAGTATGCATTTACTACCAGAGGCGGCACCGGAGGGCTTACCGGGATATCCAACCGAAGGATGAAGCAAGTCCATAGCCGCTCCGCTCAGCCCCAGGCCGTTCATGCCGTACGGGGGCTGCTTGAGGTATGACATCATGCTAGAAGCGCTCGCGGGTTTCCCCAGATCTTGCCAAAGAAATAAAATTTGCCAAACCTCGCACTTTAACGGAGAGGCGATTGGCTAAACTGTAAGGGAAAAACACATATTAAACCCTCGGTCCCATGTGCCTTTACCCAACACTTACAGTAAAAACGTACGAAACATGTCTACGAAAAGCGCAAAAATGTTTCCGAGGCAGACAAGTGAAAGATGCAGATAAAGGGGCGAGTATAGAAGAGAAACTGAAAACTGAATTAAAAAGTAGAATTAAAATTACAACTAGCAAGCACATATTTACACAAGCTCCACAAACCAAGAAAAAAATATAAACCAATTCAAACAGGTCAGCATCGCCACCTTTCCAAGTGTAGCTAAACTATTTTTCTGTACTGCAAATTCGAATAAGCCTACCTGGTTAAATTAGCAAGAAAGGTGAACGGAAATCAGTATTTTTACTTAGTAAAATTACGTTTAATACAAAAACGTGTAACCTCTAATTGTAGGCACCGCTGGACACAATTTTACGGGGTACAGTGGTAGGCCTTAAATACATGATTTGACAAATGCGACAGCCAATTTGTACAACACCCGGAAAACTTATGTTTTTTAATAAAAATGAAAAGCGCCATAATTTCAATAAAATAAATCTCCAGTAGCTACGGTATAAAATTAATAGCTAATTTTTAAAACAGGGAAAATACTCGAATTATTTCTAGACTTTTTTTTAAACAAGCAAACAAATTGTTAATAAAATGCCCGCTAAACTGCATGGTGATTACAATATTTAGAGTGAAAGATGCAGTCTATTTGGACCATAACTGCAAAATGTATAGGCTAATAGGGTATTGATCAATAAAATAATTTTAGACAATGAATTAAATTAGATACGTAGGGCCTAAAAGATCAGGTTCTCCACCTATTTTTTTAAATATCGTGTATCGCTCTGACTTTAGCGAACACATCCATTTAAATGTGATTAATTTATGTCCTAAATATTGTAAGTACCATTTCATTGTTACATATTCCTTGTGGGTGACCTTGATTCAGGACAACTGAATTTGTGGTAACTCCATTTTTAGTAGGCTGTTTCAATCACCCAGCCACCGCTATGACCTTATCAAGCTGGCGTGCCTCTTTATACACAAACAACAAATTATGTGATCGGTCATTTTATCTCAAACTGTTAGTTGCCGTTTCCTATTAAACATTTTCCACGCATACTACATTTGAAAGTTGGAGTGTTTGAAAGTTCCAGTGAAAAACATCAGACGCAAAACTTAGGTTTGCCTATAAAAATGTAGCGGACATATAAATTAGCAATGAATAGAGCGAGATAACTGGCCTGTCTTTGACAATTTTATATAAACATTATTTGTAGTTCATGGTTACACAGCGTTCATGACCGTCGGATTTAGTCTAAAACGCCACATTTAAAAAGTGCAACAAATATAGGCCTAAATTTCCAATATTTCAAAAAAAAAAAAAACCCGGCGAGCTAGATATTTTTTAAAATCACTTAACAGAAAGAACGGGGTAATGCGAACGATTGACGTAGCAAGAAAGACTATTTCCGTGCCCTGTTTAAACTATCGTACCAGTCAGAATCCTTGTCGAGGGTCAGAAGCATATTGTCCCTGTGGCTTTAACAATCATCCAAGGTTTTCAAAACTAGTGCTTGCAAAATTGCAATAATCTGAATTGACTGTCAATTACCTGCAACGCCAGGCAATGAAGTCCACCGACAAAGAAATTAATCGCAAGAAACGCCGACTTTTCTGCATGTTCCTGAAATATATTTCTAACGCTGTAGGACGGAGTTTAACCAGACTGAAAGGGCTCGGAGTCTGTGCAAATTAACTCAATTACAATTTAGATTAGACCTCCAGGGAGAGCATTCAAAGGAGGGGCCTTATCTGCAAAATAAATTGACAAAACCAAAACACGCCTCTCCAATTATCCCACTAAATAGATTCAACCCTTTAATGGGCAATCGGGTTCTGAAAATTATTCATTTCCATGAGAATAAAAATATAATCAGCCCCATCCAAAAACCGAGAAGTGGAAGGCTCCGTTATATTTAATCAATTTTATAATTTTAGTTAGCAGGATTCCGTGAACATTAATTGATAACCAACACTTGTAGTAGAATTCCGCAATCGAAAACGGAACAAAGCGGCGAACTTTAACACAGGAACGGAACGGGAGAGAGGAGTCGGGAGAACTTTTGGCGAAATTTACTACGATTAAAAAAAATACATATACACAGGCCCATGCATTCGGTTCGCCGCAAAACATTTACCAAGTTAATTAAAAAGTTTGATCTAACTGCACAAGTATATACGCGTTGTGAGATATAGACTAATTGTATGTAGTTCACCGTAGCATAGCCGATATACAATGAAGTAGTAGTTTTAAAAATGTTTTTAAAATAGTAAAAACTCATACACATACCTTTTAAAGGTTATAGTTCCACTTCGTTTTCTGTTTTTGAGGCGTGCCCGTTTTTAAGTATCCACCAATAGAATTTATTTGAACAAGAAAACGACTGTGAAACAAAAATCGAAAATGAATAATTAAAAAAAAAAAAAGACGAACGCACGTCTGCGTCTTATTCTAAATCTGATAGCTCTTCCGTATTCTGCTGTTTTACCGCGTCAGTCCCTGTACTTCTCGGCGTTTCAAAATCAAATAAATCAAGCGCATTACTGCTAGCCGCTTGTATGTGTCGTTCACTGTGTTTAGGTGATTGTTAATGTAGACCGATGGAGATTGATCACCTTCTCTCCACCCTGCCCTTCTATGAGCATAAGACACCTGCGGAACCGCCCACTTTAACCAATCACCAGGCGCCCTTTTTCTAAAAGACTGGAGAGATGGCCACTCATTGCGCAGAGTTGCTTCGAAACCCCGCCTCCCTAAACTGAGGACAAATTAAAACCTGCAGAGTAATATCGGGCAAAAGGAAAGCGGAAAAAGAAAACAAAATAAAGAGAAAAATAAAAGGCTTTAAAATTAATGGTCCATTACATTGCTGTAATTACCAACTGCGGAGCTTTTAGGTGAAGGAAATACATTTTTTTCTTGTGCTTTTTATAATGTCTATATTAAGTTATTTAAAAAACGTGAAATATAAAAATGTGTAATATTGCCAGGAATCCTAGTCAAGCATTTTATTTCAAAATGATCGTCGTTATATTTATATCAAAGCACCTAGTAACTTCCCTTGTTAAACTCTGGTATTTGAAGTTACGTAAAATACTACAGTTCTCTTCCGTTTTGTGTACAATAGAGAGTCAACGCAGATTTTACTGGATGAAGGTAAAAGTCCGGTAACCTGCAATTAAATTAATAAAATGTAGTTGGAACAATTTTCTAGATAAAAAAATAAATACATTTTAAAATGTTGGCCACCCGAAAGCACCGAGTTTTCTAAAACTACCTGACGTAGCCAACTTCTATGTAGTTGGCTACGGTTATGTAGGTATAGCTCCAAGCGTTTTTCATTGCACTGGTAATAAGTTCTGTTGAATGTGACTGGTTAACTATGATTATTTTCCATCTTTATGAGTAGATTTTTTTTTCATAAATAAGTATGTCTGTAGGGTTTTTTTTCTGTTTCTCGTTCTACACGGACACGTCATTTAAAATATCTGTACAGATTTTTGTTCTAGCAATACTGTAAGATTGGGAGATTGATTTATCCTTTTTGTTTATTAAAAATTTTATTGTTACCTCATCTCATGAATATTAATGATAAACTAATCCCCACTTAGAATTACATCTCAGAATAGTTAGAGTTAAGTTAAATAGGGACAGTCTTTTTGCTTAGAGTGGGCTATGCTAGAAGAATTGGATAGAAGAAACTCAGGCGATCCGGAAAATAAATTACATAAGACAAGAAAGACTCTTGGGGTCTTACAATCAATGAAAGCACCTTTCAAGCCACACTTTCTTAAAGAAATGCCAATAAAATACGGTAACAGAATATCATGGAGGGCACACTGTTTCCTTAACTGCTTCTCAAAGGGTCGGTGAGATGCTCCAGGGACCATAATACGCCTTCGGTCAGTGCTTTTGTAGATCTCACAAAATCAACTCATTCTAATTGAGGCCGAATCTGAAAGCGAGCTAATGTTCAAAGAAAGTCACCGACAGTCGAATGAAATTACATTTTCACTTAGCCCAACACTGCACGTCCAAAGCTAGGTCTTCCTCACGTTATGTGACGCTCTGCCCAACTACTAAAAAAGGTATAAAGAAAAAAGAAAGCAAGTACCCGTGAAAACCCGAGCACGTGCAAATATAGGCCTTTACACTGCAAATTAATTACAGCGTCCAAAGAGACTGCAATAATAATAATAATAATAATAATAATAATAATAATAATAATAATAATAATACATAAATAAATAAATAAAAACCTGTCAGGTATAAAAGAAACAAACTAGGTCATTCAAACTCTTATACAGTAAATCCCGACCGACTACAAAGTTAAATACGGACTACAACATACAAAGGCAAAAAGTAATTGTGCAACAATTCTGCAAACTTGCTGTTTTTATGCCAGTTGTCTGTTTAAGACGACGGGATCCATCTTTAAAGTATCCAGATATCAAGTAGCACTAACCTTTTGTAACAAGAGTATTTGTCTAATCCCAAATTGCAGTCGAATTTTCTTAACGCTGAGCCCGTAAAGCCTGGGATTAAGCAACGCGGAAAGGGGGTGAAAGTTCCGTGTCTTTAGTTGGCAGGTTAGCGGTGGATAGTGTATGTTATCGGTGCTTATTAAAACGACGTTGCACGAAACACGGACTTGTAAGGAACCCCGAGCGAAAGGATTCGTAATGGTTTCCCTTGGTAGATTTTGTTGGAAGTCGGTGGTACTAAATAGCACGGAATTTTTGAAACACGTCTAATCAACACCTGCGAGGTGAAGCTGCGGACTCAGTGCGCATCCAAAATACATGTGAGAGAAAGTCCATCTCGGCAAGGGATCTGAAGGTAGGGATGGACTCATTTTGCTTCACGTCTTTTTAATCGGCAGAAAACTCTTAAGTTATTCGTTACAATACATTTATTTTTTCTTTCCAATGGGGACTTCATTCCGCGTTTTCGTTCTTTTGCCTTGCATCGGGCTCCCTAGCGGCTCAGTACACACATCTTTGGAAATATAAGTTACACATGCAAGATCAGCGAGGCTGCGTGTTCATTGTTATGCGTTTTTAATGAACAGTTGTCCCCAAAATCACTACATTATTATTTACAAGAATCAAGTGCATATCTTCTATTTTTATCAGCAGATAACTTATTATCAGTAGCGATAGCTTATGTTATGAAATGAATAATGCAATTGTTGAACAATTATGTGCTGCAATCTGTACTGGGGTGCCTGTTGGTTTCTTGTATATAGAACAGAATTCACATTTCAAAATAATACTTATCTTAAATCTATTTGAAACGAATGAATAAAAAATAAGAAGTCTTGAATTTAGCAATGTTCATTTAGCAAACGATTAGTATAAACGCATTCATATCGAATGCGAATTAGTTTACTAAAAATATGGGTTTCATTAAATACTTTCCCTATCAGACACATATAAAATCTGAATTATTATTTTGTACCTTCTTCTTTTTTATATCAAGTAAAAGTATAAGGAAAATCAATAATAAAGTTTATGAAAGCGTTTAAAGTGTTCGATTGATGTCTGTTTTGTGCTGATAATGTTTCAATGTTCATAGATAACATCCACACAAAACGTGTGAGGATCGTAAACAAAAAAATAAATGGTGGTGATTGATGACTGCATGCGCTTAAATGCATCGTCATTATTCTTGTGCAAGTGGTCTCAAAAATCATATTTGTAGTCTTTTCAAGCAGTCAAACACAGTAGAGGGAAAATATTAAAACAAAAACAAATCGCCTTAGGCGACATGATATGGACGCACAGGAAGACTCAAGCGGAGAACTCAAGAGCAAATTAATTTTAAATTATCAGAACGGTCAGAGAAAACGGCACCTGTCACAACCTATTTTTTTCCGTGTTTAATCATTTCCAGGCGGTTACGGCGAGATACTCGACAGCCAGCGTCATTAAAAAGCCGCACTTCACTTGCATGCTGCAGAGAAAAGACCGGGGATAAACTGATCAAAACATGGCAGTGTAATCAGATTTCCCGGAACAAACCCTGCATTAATCTACATAAAACAAAATACATACAGACGTTCATATAAAACCACAACTTTAGGGAATTTAGGTGGGAAAAAAATCTGAATTGCGTATACCCCCAACTTCCGTGAAATGTTTATAGATATTTAAAAATAATTTTCACAATGTGTTCCAACAAATATGAGGTCCTCGAACGTCCGTGATAAACGAGTTCCATCTTTATTTTTAAATTTCTATTCTTTCTTTTGCAGCATGACATTAAAATCGTAAAATAAAAGGCCCACCGTGAATAACAGATTATCAAGCGTTCCACATTCAACTGGATGGACAGGATAAAAATACCTATGAAACGCAGAAACCGCCAAGTAAATCGTTTTAAATGTTGCGCCGCAAAAAGCTTTTTCTTTGAGCTTATTTTTACTGCGACACATTCCAATGTACGGTATTTCACATATGCTTAAACCACTGACAGGGCGGTTATTACTTAGTGTTATATTTAACGTAAAATTAAAAAGAAGTCTTTACATAATATTTAAGGTATTAAGGTTAAAGATTACAAAAGTAACAGTAATAATAAGACAACATTGTATGCGAATATGAAATGACTACAGTGATATAATTTACAAATTAAGCTTTTAAATATCCATTCATTTATACGTATGTAAACAGTCAAATATCCAAGCATTTAGCAACGGCATGTATAGATGTAAAATAATACATGAAATGTTATTTAAAATAA